TTATATAGGTAATATAAGCCTTATAAGTAGAGTCTCTATAGGTAAGGTAAATAAATAAGATAAGAGTATAGGCATAATATTTCTTAACCTCTTAATAATTAAGTATTAATAATAATAATAAAAAGATTAAAAAAAGAGTATTTATAATATTAGTATTATATATATTATTATTAGTTTAATTAATACCTTTAAGGATAATCTATATATTATTATATAAGGCCTTTTACTTAGTAATTATTTATAAAGTAATAAATTAAAAAGGTCTATAAAGTAAAGAAGTAATACTTTACCTTAATATAGTCCTTACTTAATTATTAATAATAAGTATAATATATAAAACTAGCTAAGTAAGAAATTAATAAGCACTAAGTATTTAATAAGTAGGGAATAAACCGCAAATAATATAAGGAATAAAAGCAGCTATAGGATTATTATTATAATCTTTCTTCTTAGGAGTTTAATAGGTAATATATTATAAGTAATATTAATAACCTTAAGGCCTAAAGTAAATTAATAAATAAGAAGTAATATATAAATAAGAGGAATATATATATTAATAAATAATATAAAAGAAAAAAAGAAAAAAAAGAAATAATAAAAAGAAATAAATAAAGGCAAATAGGCGTAAATAATATAAAGCTATTATAAAGGGATATTAACTATATATATAAAGGAAAAAAGCTATATTAAGAGGAGGCTTATAAGGTATAATAAAGATACTTAGAAAAAAAACAAAAAAAAAAGCCTTATAAGCTATAAAGAAGTTACCTTATACCCTATAATTAGCCTTTATTAATAAATTATAGCTATTCTCTTATTATTCTTTAATATTACTATTTATAATAAAAGAGAGTTAATTAATTACTTAATTTAAAAAAAAATAGCGCTTAATAATAATATAATAAATTTATTATATTAAGGTAGCGCTAATAATATATATAAGCATTTCTTAATTAGCTTAAGATAAGCTAATAAGTAATAAGAGATCTTATTATAAGCCTCCTAATTAGGAAATATCTAAATAGCTAATTAGGGCATAGAGACTAATAGAAGTTAATAAAAGCCTAAGGCCTTAGCCTAAGGGAGCAAAGTAGCGACTAAGGAATATAGCTAGCTAGCTACTTAGAAGCTAATTAGACTATAAGGATTAAAGGGATATAGCTTATATAAGGGGAAATATATATATAGTAAGTAAGGTAAGAATTAAGACTATTATAATTTATTACTTACCTCCTAGTAGCTCTATAGTAGCTTAACCTCTTTACTCTCTTTAACTCCTTTCTAATCCTAATACTTCTTTACTCTATAGAGTAAGTATAGATAAAAAGTTAATAAGTAAGAAGAGACCTTAACTTATAATCTTCTTAATAAATAAAATAAGGTTATAAATAAAGGTTTAATAAAAAGTCTATTAAACCTAAGTAAATTACTAAGTATAAAAATAGTAAATATAATATATAAATATAATAAGTAACCTAATTAAATTACTAGAGATTCTTTTCTTTTTATATTTTTTAGGATTAGATTTAGATCCCTTTTGCCCTTATATCTACGGAGAGTTAATTTAATATCTTACGTTTTTTAATAGCCCTGTGTCAGGATAACTTAGTAGCCTTCAAAAGGTCAAGCCTTTCTTACTTAAGCCTATCTCCTTCCTTGGTCTTATCAATGGCCTCTTTGGAGACGCCACCAAGGACAAGGAGGAAAACCCATTCAGTGCCATAGGTATCACTAGATACTTGCCAAAGTGGTGGGAACGGTCGCGAGTGGGCTGGGAACTAAAAGATTGACTCAAACGTAGAATGATGGCAGTTCTATTACAACCTGCATATCGCGATGCTTCTACCGCCTTTTAATGAGTGATGAAGAGTATATCTACCCCCGATCTAAGCTGAGCCTCACTTTCCCTGCCATCGAGCGGCTATCTCCCCGAGATATGAGCCATAAACTTTGATTGCATTAAAACTGCGTACGACTGTTACCTCTAGGACCATAAAGAGAGTTTTGTCACTTGGAAACTTACTAGTTAATCTTGTCCAGCTTTTCTGCAGTCACGATCAATGTGTCAGTGAGTTTTAGCATGCTTAGCCAGTGGTCAAGTACCGTTCACAGAATGAATACCATCAGTCGGCCTCCCTACTGGGAGCAAGAGAACGTTTTTCTTCAAGACCTTTTTCATGTCTAGAGCGATTGGGATACTACTACTAGTTAGCAAGATGATGTTTCTCAGCACTCAATGAATACAGACCTGCCACCCTCGCAAGTGATAGGAGGAGTAACGCCCCAAGTTCGTTCTATAGCCTTGATCGCTGCCTGATAGTTCCAATGGTCAACATCTTCATAGAACCAGTCACTCTGGTGCACGCAATCAATGTCAAGATTATTCTTGCTCTGAAGCTGCTTGAACTTGGTTTCTATTTGATGTCGAACCAGAGCATCCACCTCGCTGGCCTCCATGCGCGGAACCGTCCGGATACTGAACTTTCCGACCAAGGCGGCGGGGATTGAGGTGGTTGCACCAGGCCCGGGCTTCAGATTCTCTATGCGATGGAGGCTGAGAGACGGATGTCGCCATCTGTATTCGTATTAGTTATCTTGACAACTCTCAAACGAAGAGACCACGCTAACTTACTTGGAAATAATTGTCTCTGCTTTCGCTTCGTGAACGAGTCTGCCCCCAATCCCCCCATCCAGGGCTTCCGGTGTCAGCGGTAGCTTATCATAAGACTCTCGCTCTTCATCAGTGACCTCTAGCACGGCATCATAGACGCCAGGAATGAGCAATTTGCCCCGAGAATCCACAAGGGAGCTCATGACGTTGACCATGTCAGTCATTGGTTCTGAGATGGCACCACCAAAAAGGCCACTGTGGGCATCTTCTTGAGCACCACGAATGGTGATTCTGTAAAATAGTACCCCTCTAAGGCCTCGAGGGATCGTTGGCTGCGTATTGCTCGCCCAAGCAACATCAGTCAAGCACACGGCATCGATGTCGGAAAGGAATTGGCTTGCTTCCTCTTCAAGGGCGGTGCGGAACCCAACTGAACCATTCTCCTCCATGCCCTCCAAGAAAAAGGCTAGGTTCACCGGGACTTCCTGATCAGCGTCTTGAAAGGCTTCCAGCATGTTGAGCCAATTCACCAGCGGGCCTTTGTCATCGGAAGTTCCTCTACCGTGCAGAACCTCGTTACTGTCTGTCAGAATCCATGGGTCATGATCCCATCCATCTTGCAGACTGGCCGGTTGAACATCGTAATGGCTGTAGACCATGATTGTGGGCTTATCGGGATCATTTCCGAATCGACCAAGGACCAATGGGGGTAAGTCAAGGTCTGTTCCAGGTTCTTTGCCCAGAGACTTGAGCCGTACTTCAACGCCCAGCTCTTTCATCTGAGCCATGATCCAACGAGCCATCTAAACTCGTAATCAGCAGCTGCGGCCTTCAGACTCTCACGGGGTAGGGAAACCTTGATAGTGTCGGCCCTACGGCCAGCCTCGGAAGATACAGAAGGGATTTTGATTGCATCTCGGAGCCCTGAGTAATTTCGCCACGCTTAGCCTGGTATTCATGCTCCAAATGCAAGCAGCCGAACTTACTGTCGATGAAGTGAGCTTGAAGCTTATCGACGCTGATTATCCGTCATCTACATTCTTCAGGTCAGCCGGGAGAAGCATACCTTTCATAGAATTTGGCGTAGTCCATCTTGATTCGAGATTGGACCTCCAAGCTCTATACCGGACAAAAAGAACTTCTGTATACCTTCGGTATCGTCAAAACGCCAGCATTTTGCATCACCTTTTATCATGGCTTCTGACTCATTTCTGTCGTGCTGATTGGTCAGACCCTCCACCTCCAATCAGCGGCGACTGAGGTGTGCCAAAAATTGCCGTATCTGGATATTCTTTACGAGGGCCAATCATGAGCCTTTCGATGGAGATGGCTCATTGAGGCAACCTCCTGCGAACGACCTAGGCTTGGTATATACAAGGGGCAAATGGCTTTACCAGACTCTGTTATCATTGTTTGTCAATTCTATCGCACTTAGCAACATGAGTTCAAAGCCAACAATTCTCGTTATCGGGTCACCAGCTGGTCTCGTTGCTGATGAAACCTGGACCAATTTCACCACCAATTTCAACGTCAAATCTTACGACTTTTTGACCAATGATGCCTTTCACGAGTCATTACGATCTGGAAGTTGCAAGGATGTTGATGGCATCGTGCGTCTTGGCCTTAATCTACCAGAGGGCTGTGAAAAGGTCTTGATCGGCTGGACCCATCGGGGTCTTGAGCATTTTCCCCAAAGTCTCAAAGTGATCGTCAATTTTGGCCATGGCTACAACGATGAGGCGGTTGACGAGCTTCGCAAGAAAGGGACCGCCTTTTTCAACACGACAGGCGGGAGTCAATCCACAGCTGCGGTGGGAACCTACCTTATTGTGGCGGCTTTCCGCAACCTGAGCCGATATGAGCGGATGCTTCGTCAAGGTCAATTTCTTCCAGCTCTCAGGGACTCTGCCAGAAATGCCGTTGACCCTTTTGGGAAAAGCCTCGGCATCGTTGGCATGGGCTCTATCGGGGAGACCATTGCGAGGCAAGCATCTACGTTGGGCATGAAGGTCCACTGCATAGACAGGCCAAGCCTACGTAATAGGCTTGAAACTGAAGGAAACTCAGCGACAGGCCTTCCTCCTATTACTCTCCATGAGAGTCTATTGAGTCTCGTACGAGTCGTCGATTGTATTCTTCTGTCATGTCCTTATTCGGCCGCAACCCACCATCTTCTCTGTAAAGAGGTGTTCAGCGAGATGAAGAAGGGAGTCAGGATCATCAACATTGCTAGGGGACTCTGCATCGATGAGGAAGCACTTTGCGATGCCATTGAGGAGGGCATCGTGGGTGGTGCAGGGCTGGACGTTCACCACGATGAGTAAGCACCCACATCGCTGCCACACGAACATGATCTAACGAACCTCAAGGCCAAAGGTGAATCCTAGACTACTGGGCTATGACTGTGTGACATTGTTACCGCATGTTGGTGGTCTAACAAACGATTCAATGAAGGTATGTCGCATCTGTAACTCAACTTATCCATGTCTTAAAGCTCACTGTAACTAGAACCATGCTGAGCTTGCTTTAAGCCATATTGTCAATTATTTCTCTGCAGAATCATCAGGTTCGGACTCGGTCGTGTAATTTGTGCAGTGTGTTGGTCTGAAAACAAGGGTTGAAGGGTAAATGACGGACATGGCTATGAGGAGCGTTACTTTTAAGACACTCGAAGAAATTGATTCCAGTTATACACTGTTCAACTATTCTTACATCAGTATCAAGGTAATTCTCGAACCGGTATTAAGACAAATTTACGACGGATGAGGGTGCCTTATGATTGCTTCATTCATTTGGTGTGCCAGGTTCCCACCTCTTCACGTGTAGGGTAGTTAAGCAACTGAAGAACAACTCAGGTCATCGCGGTGCGTCGATGTCCTGGAGAAACACATTGATAGGTAGCAACCCATGACTTTTTGTCTCTCTTGATCATAAGATACTGCTGAGATGTTGGCAGTATCTGAATTCGCCGTCATTGCTGACTCTCTCGATGATTTGAGCAACAACCGACGTTGTAGATGCTCATTTGGTCATTGGAAACATGACCTCTCTTCATCTTGGGATTGTTGTCACAGCTATACATCTGGAGACGTAAGGTTCAGAATGCTCTAACTAGGTTGATAAAAGCTATGCAATATTACTAACACTCCACCAAACCCAAATCTCGTCTGACCGCGCTCACTCCTCGATGACATGACCCCACTCATGTTCAACGCGCCCATAAATGATGTCTTCCAGCCAAGACTTGATCTTTGCTGAATATTGGCACAAAGGAGTCTTTGTTCCGGCACTCGTTACCGTCATGGGGAAGGACACATCTGTATCATCATACCGGATGCATGAAACGGGAGTAATAAACATCTGTGAAATGTCAGCACAACGAGGAATCACTCAAGTATTGAGGGGCAAACTTACTGCAGTTCCACTGACAAAGCATTCGACAAGACGGCCATCAGTATGAGCTTCTGCGATCTCATCCATAGTCAAAGGCCGCTCAACAACCTCCAGCGGCTCGAGGTCTGACCACTGAGATGCAGTGTCCTTTGCCAATCTCTCCCTAGCAATTTCCAAGACACTCTGCCTGGTAACACCAGGAAGAATGACTCCGGTATCGAGCGAGCTTGTAACCAGTTCCAGCTGTTGTGTGTCCTTTCGTTTCCAGATGACAAAGAAGTTGCTTGCACCCGCCTCTGTCACGTACTTCTCAGGCCCAAAGAGCCACAGAGTCTGGCCACATCCCTCCTCACGAGCCCTGCCATGTGCCGCCATAGCTGGCCCGTAGCTAGCACCCACCTTGGCATTGCCAAAGCCTCCAGGCCAAGCACGGATAATGTCGGAACTACTCGCTAGTAGTTTGACACCAGGGTGTGGCGCCTTGGAGGCTTGCGGAAACAAAGCTGCGAAAAGAAAGAAGAGTGCCTCTGCTGGGACACTGATTCCCAATGCCTCTCCGCTTCCAATCATGGCTGGTCTAAGGTAGATATTGGTGCCGGGCTCTGGCAACCAGCGAGGACACTCGGTCGCCACGTAGCTAGTGATGACATCAAGAAGTCCCTGGGGGCTGAAAGATGGTAGGGCAACTCTAGCGTTGGACCTTAGCATGCGGACGCAGTTGAGCTGAGGTCGGAATAGGCGGAGCTTATTGTCATAACCGCGATACACTTTCATCCCTTCCTATGGGCAGTCTTAGTAAGTCTCAATCAGTCAATAAGAGAAGATATTCTGCTTACAAAGGTCTCGGTAGCGTAGTGTAACACGCTGGCTGTAGGTTCGAGTGAAATCTTGCCATAAGGCACCATCTCCGCATTTTCCCAGCCATTCTCTGCAGTCCAGCGCACCTTCACCATGTGAGCGGTGGTGGCCTTCTGCGTGAATCTCACAGGGTCATCGGCAGCCGGAACCGGGCCTTGTTCGCATTCCGGGACAAGGTCTCTGTGCATTCCCTTTGACCTTAGCTCACCGAGCTTCGGCTGAGAAGCTAGGGTTGAAGCCTCTGGTGGAGTAGCGATGGCGCCGGGGCTCATGATTGGGGTTACTGTGGCGAGATTGTAAAAAGATGTATCGAGTGGGCGATATAGAGGATGTCTTATCTTGGGCTGAGCGTACAGTAGTTGAGTAGCAGCTTGAGAGAAGTATTGAGCTTTATGCAATCCACATCGCGATTTGGCCGTGACTCCCAGGAGTCAACACTCCAGGTCCATCGTGTTTATTGCCAGATTGGGTATCTAGGAACGATGCACTTTTCCTGCGGCCCCACCATATTGGCAATCAGCCATTGGAACCACACACAGCACAGCATGTTTTCTGCGATAGTAATCACGTTATTGACTTCAACATCCTTTATGTAAGTATCAGATGTCAAACATCACAGATAGCCGATTACCCCTACGGTTGATCTGTTAAGAAGGGCATCTCAAGAGCCATGTTGTGGGAAGATTCTCAAAACTATTGATACCATACAGAATAGTTGCCGAGATGAAGCTACCAACATTGCGATTCCCTGCAAAATCCAAGTGATATCTGCCGTTACTCGCAAGAAACTTGGCAAGTTTACAGTAGCATCTCCGTTGATGAATCCATCATGGGATTTCTACAAAGTCTATGCTCCAACCGCGTGCACAACGAGAGTAAATCTCTACTGAGAAACGATCTAACCCATCATCATCGTCCTGCGGTATACTGTTCTCCTCCAAGTCAACCATTCTTACTTTAATGACTTCCCAACCAAGCCTAGAGCCTCGTTGACTGTACTCTTGATCAATGTACTGGAGAAGCCTATGAGCATGGCGCACATTCCATATCCCCTCTCGATCCCGCAGAAATCCAGAGATCCAATCTTTGATCCACTCCTTTGCTGCTTGGTCATCGGATGAGTAGTACGCGTTCATTAATGCAGGAACCATTCCGTGACCGTAGGCGTTGCTGGCAGCACATACGGAGCTAGACACACCGGCTGCGAGACGGCAAGCGACAAGAATAAGCTTCCGTCCGTTCTCTGGGAGCTTTCTTCTCACTCCTGGCGAATACTTCATTTCAAGCCTTACCAGTGACACCAAGTAGTGCATGAAGCTGGTCGCAGCTTTTGCCGGGTTGGCCGCGCGACTCAACGTCAAGGGGCGAATAATCAATGTTGATCCATCTTCGCCCAGCTTCCATGGATCGGCATCTACCTCATCGGCAGACGGCACGTCACGATCAGGCAGCGACCGTCGCCATGCTTTCAACTCATCGATAAGACCCCGTGCTTGCATGCGCCAGTGACTGTCAAGTTGAGGACTGGTCCGACATTCTTCTTCAAACTCACCCACTCGAGGCAATATGTAGAGAAGGCGGTCCGAAGGATCCGTGGAAGTTCTAAGTGATGTTCCCAGCATGGCCGAGACGTTGGAAGTTGCCAGACTATGACAAGCAGTATAGGATCGATCGAAGATTTCCAGGTAAGCCGCAATCCTGGAGAATGAGCGTATGATGGATTTCCCAACAGGTAGTTCACCAACTTGAGCAACGTTGTGGGATAGGTATGTCACAGCAGCATGACTGTGTACATACCAGAGCTTTATTTGCCCCCGGTTGAGCTCGAAGTTGGCAAGCAGAAGCAACGTGGCAAGCCATGCGATGGTGTTTTGGCCCCTACCAGGCGCATCAATCGTGGCAATACCGTCGCTCAAATGGGCCGACCGCATGTAACCGAGAGCATCGACAAAGTGATCTAACGCGTGTAGGGCAGCGCAGTCGGCAACCACCTTGGACACAGAAGATGACTGGGACATGTGAAGGGCGGATAATGCCAGAGCGGCGTGAAAGAAGCCCTTGTCTAAGCCACCAACGCCAAGGACATCACGAACCCCAAGGACGGAGAGAAGACCTGACAGCGAGGGGTCACATAGATGATGATAGTATATCATGTCCTGTGGGAACTTTGCCGCTTCAAATAGACCTGGCGGTGCAACTGAAGACGGTTCAGGATCTTGGATGACAGCTGGAAACCCACACCAACTTGTGTCGGTCTGCTGGTCGGTCCACTCGCTCGAGACTGGAGAGTTTTGGGCGATTGGGAAGATGGCCTCGATTCCCGTGATTTCAAATCGAGCGGAGTGCGGTGTCGAGACAGTCTGTTGTTGCTCGGGACTGTCGACGAGAGGAAACCTCTCGAGCTGTGTTTCGACCAGGGCAGGCACTGCTTCATGGCAAGATGTTGGACTTGTGGTGGCGTCGATGAGTCCATGGTCTTGGGAGGCTCGAACTGTGGCGACTGAAGAGTTAAGGAAGGGTTCCGCGGCAAGAGGAGATAAGGCTGCAGAGTTGTTGACAATCCTTTGTTGAGCTTCAATGTCCGTTTGATGGCTCTGGTCGGGATCGATGTCCTGAACAATTGCCTGGGCATCGTATCCAGCCTCAGGTAATTGCGGAGATGCCCCTATTTCGCCTGCTAGCAGCCGGCCATTGTCTGGCGGAGGAGTCGGATGGGTCGACGCCTGTCCTTGATCACCTCCGAGCGTCGGAGTCCCTGGCGTCTCGTTTGTTGTTTGTGGAGACGTCTTGTCTCTTTCATTTCTCTGATGCTTGGTCCTCAACAAGTCTGTCTGGTCCCTGAACCTAAACCGGGTAACGTAGCCCCCGCATTGCAGCCGGAGGCGGGTACACTGAACGACGTGAGCGGATGGATCAATGCAGAGTGGAGGACAGGGTCTTACATTGGAACAATGTGGTTTGGCCTCATCACACTTGAGACGGCGTGCCCGACAAGTTACGCATCCGCTACGTTTTCTCGAGGCCACGTTTCGTTTTCGAGGCACATGCATTGTTTCTTGCTGGATGAAATGTCTCCGTTTTGCAATGCATTCTCCAGGAAGCGACAGGCATGGGGATTGAACTCCCCCTGTTGGTGATGCTTTGGGCGGAGGACCATGGTGGAGATAGCTACTAACTACATTCGGCAGTTTTATACGAGCACGATAACGATAGCTTAGCACGTTTTGTACTGAGTCATGCTCGTGTTATAAGTGGGTAGATCTTGGAGGATAGCGATTGGCCGAGTTGATAAGCCTACCTCCCATGACTCTACCTCTTGTTCGTTACCCTTTTGCTGCTGGATTGGAAAAGAATACGAGGTGAAATCTACTGAGGCTTGATTAATAACCGTTGCTCGAGTGATTGGAAGCCAATACATTACTTCATAGAATTACAAACCTTACTCTTGTGTAAGCCGGCTATCCGTTCCTTGACGCTCTTCCAAACAGCCTTGTAACTGGAACTGGACTTTTTGTTGAGCGAGGAAGATAGACTAGTTACGAAAAATATGCGAACATTGTCTAGACATTTTTGTGCTGTCAATCCTTCTTGCTGACAATCAAGTTTTCCTCGCGGTCCATCTACCCTTTGCTCGAATCCTTGCTCCAAAGTAAAAGAAAATCCAAGGGATAGGCAACAATGCCAATGCCACGTAGCCAGTCAGGTTAGATGCATTCTCGATACCCAGCGCCGAGTACATCTTTGGCACTACAGGCGGAAAGATGCTGGCGAGCATGCTCCGCATAAACGTGTTGGCAGCAACAGCGCTCGCTGCATACTGCGGAAACGTATCTATCTGGTAGCCTATAACCGACTGAAAGATGGTGAAAAAGCCCAGACCCATCATCGTAGCTGCTATCATAGGCACGATCCAGGGGAAGGAGCCCGGATCGGCAGTGTTGCCAATCATGAAGAGGCCAGCCATGAGGAAAACTGCACCTATCATCATTGGAGGGAGACGATGCTCAGGGGTACCGCGGCCATTGTTGGCCTTGAGCTGAGCCACATACCATCTCGAGCACATGGTATTGACAAGTGAGCCTAGGCAAGCACCGATGAAGAGGCAGATGAAGGCTAGGCTACCGATCAAAGCATTCCACCCTCGGGCTCCCTGGAAGATTCTTGGGAAGGATCCAAGATTCAGATAAACAATGCCGTAAACTAAACATGGCAGTAAAGTCAGTCCTGAATGGGTTCCGCCATCGGTTGGATGAACCTACATTCGAGAATGGCAACGTACCAAAACTTGCATGTAAAGCCGAGAAAAAGCAGATAGGCGTCATCAAGAGCTGGATAGGCCTGATCACGAATTTGGTAACCATTTCTCTGAATGTAGCATCCCACTCCTCATGCTGAGCGTGGTATGACCAGTTCCTGGTCTCCAAACGAAGCCTGAGGGCCTTGCGGACAAGTAGAATAGGAGGATATGACTCTTCGATGAAGAAAAAGTCAAGCACGGCCATGACAGCCATGATGATGCCGGTAATGAGCTGCGTCCAACGCCAACCCAACCCAGAATACATCATACCTCCACCAACAATGGGACCTAGAAGTACAGGTTAAGTGATTAGTTACTGCTACTCAAAAATTGTATGAGATATTACTTACCCAACACAGGTCCGCCAATAACGGCCAGAGCATAACCCGTCAAGGCGAGCCCTCGTTGTTGCGGTGAGAACATATCCGCAAGCACGCCTCCAGTGATACACAGAGGCGCACTCCCAAAGAAGCCCGCAAAGAATCGTGTGATGAGCAGTGTCTGTGTATCCTTGGCAGCTGCAGTACCAAAGGTGAAGCAAACGGCTACAAAATATGGCACAGCCATAGGAAGCTTCCGTCCGTAAAGTTCACTGACGGGTGCCCAGATCAAGGGCCCAAACGCGAAACCCATTAGGATCAAACTCGTCCCTAGACTTGCCACCTCCTCTGAAATCTTGAACTCGCCCATCATCTCGTGGATTCCTGTGGAGAATGAAGCCGTGGAAAACGTCGAGCCCATCGTGCTAAGCCCATAGAGCAGAGTGGTGTAAACCTTTCTCTTCAGGGGCCAGTTTCGTGGATCATAGGGGTCTTGCGGGCTGTCAAAAGTGACGACAACATCTTGTACTGACATTCTGTCTGATGGCGTTGGAGATGTGGTGTCTGTCACATTTCTGCCGGACGCGACAGCTGTTTCGGGGCTTTTTTCTGACAACATATTGCCGGGAACCGTGACAAAGGAGCCTCTATTAACATGAAATATCCAATTGCTTTAAATGAAGATTAGCAAGCAAAACACATTTATTGACGGCGAGCTCAAGGTCACTAAAGAAACCACGCCAGGGGTGGGAATTACCCAAAAAGGCAACATTGTACGGCGTCCACGCAGCTCCACCTACAAGCGGCCCTACCACACCCAAGAAGCGTTTCTTTGCATGGAAACAGACTATTAGGTATTATGTAAATAAATGCGAACTCAACCAGAGCAACAGTGCAATCCTGCTCTCTGTATATTCAACCTCGACTACTATCTGTACAGGACCCATAAGTGGTAGAGCACCTCGAGAGAACAGTGATCTCCGGTTGAACTAGGGGTTCAGCCAGAACACATGCCTTCGAAGTTCAGCAAAGTCCCCAACATCTTGGCCGGTTAAAGTCCAATTTGGATCGTTGAAGAGTGACTGGTACTGATGAAATGCATCCTCGAGCGGTAGGTCTGCAACCAGACTGCCCACCGTGTGACCATCACTGGCAAGATCCATGGGAAGCCACATGGCCGGATGGTTGTTCCACATCGAGGTGCCCCAAGACTGACCTTCATGCGACGGTAGCATATCTTGACGCATTTCCTCTTGATCCCCATTTATTTCGCGAGCACGTAACGTTGAAGGTAGCTGACTCTCTGGACTGTGAGCATCAGCGGGCTGGGTCTCGTGCTCTTGAAGCCCGAGATGGAGGTCAAATACTTCCGGAACTTGCATAGTCGCTGAAAGATGGTCCCAGACACCCTGGACTTCTCGAAACCTCTCTCTTGCAAATATGTTGCCCCGATCAGCGAGGTACTGAAGCATGTCCATAGCTTCCTGTAAACCCGGAGAGGGATTGATCCTATCCTCTGGCTTGCATGACGAGTCAAATATCTTGGTAAGCAGCATAATAAATACCGCCGAAAAGATTGCATCACACTCAAAAAAGCCATAAACAGCTAAATTTGTTAACGATGCTCTTCCAGCGAAGGCACTCACATACCGACTAGGTTCCTTTGCTTGAGGGCGATGATGACCTTGAGAATCCGTCTCGCGGCTTCTGAGCACGTCTTTGATAGCTTTCCCTGCGTGCCGCCTGTTAACTCAGCACTTGGTGGCTGATCACCACTTAATATCAACTGCGTAATGCGGAGCATGAGTGGGCGTATGGCCAACAAAGCTGTCTGAGTTGAGGCATAACATTAGCGACGCAAGAGAGACCAGGCAAACTTCTTACCTGATAGAGCATCAGATGGAGAGAGGCGGCTGTCCTCAGAGACACATTCGAGTTACTGCCAGCGAGATTCAAGAATTGTTCTGAGGGGATCTCGGTTGATATGTCAAAGAAGTTCTTGATGATTTGCTGGGCATTGGATACAAAATCCTCTTCACTCTCAAATTTGGTGCCGTATAGGTCTATAGAGCTTTAGTAGATCTTACAGGGTTGAAAATGGGAGACTTACTGGTGATGATTTTCCCGGTAACCCTGGCAATTCTAATATTGGCGCGAATCGCAGCGGCGGGCGGGAATCCGGATGCGTCCCAAGGAAGAGGTAGATCTATCGCATCGTCGTTGATTCCGGAAGGGGTTCCAGTGGCTGCAGCGAGACGCCTAACACAGGTCAGAACTGAACCTTGACAAATACCTAAACCATCGTCTGCTCACCTTTCTTGCATATAAACAGTCCACCACAACCTGTTGATCTGAGCCTTTTCAGACCGAAGAAGCTTCCCTCGTGCATTCTCCCGGTGATAGCCATGAAGAGTCGCGAGTCGCAGCGCACTGGTTATCTAAGAGAGGTTAGAGGAACGTACAGGAGATCCGTATTTCTTACGTAGAGATGAGCCTCCTCTTTTCGATCCATCATCTGCAGATACATGGCCATCAGTGCATTGAGCTCTACCCCTAATCTGCCGTTGGCATACTGGACACTCATCGACGGAAAGCTTTGCTGAGCAAAACCAAAGAGTTCTTGTCCCAGCAAGTCGTGTCCCCCTTGCTCAAAGTTGGCCGCATAAAGCTTTCCTATAGCCAAGATGATTATCACTTGGATGTACCAAAGCTCGTAGGATTAGACAAAATCGTTCATGCCCTCATACATCAGTCCAACCCGGTCAGATATCTCTCTGGAATCGTAGTGACTTTGTGATTGTCCTATGAACAAACTCACGGCCTCGAGTAAGCGGAAAGCCTCATCCTCGTTTGGCAGTTGGGGTGCATGTTTGGCTGTGACTCTGGGAGAACAACCCAAATGACTAGGGTGGTGTGGACTAGGGGTTGGAACAACGTCCGATGACCTTGCGGAGCCAGACCTGGTTAAAACCTCTTGAACCTTTCTACCGAATCGATTGCTTGAGCTTAAGGAAGGCTCAGGTGCGAAGACCGAGGAAGCGGGTGGTCGAGGTGTCAAAGAAGAGATAGGCTGAGAGTTGATCCCGTTACCTGAGTTGGCGAACTGGGGCAGCGTCGGATTGCCCGGGGTTGGAAGCGGCTCGTTCTGGCTTTGAGAGATAGGGTTTTCATCTTGGGGGGCATCATTTGGTAAATCTGATGATGCAGATGTGGCATTGAAACTCGCAGCGCTGTCACTACGCTCCTCGTATCTTTCCAGTCGACTCTCAAGCTCGGCGATTTTGCTACCAAGATTAGTAACTGGTCAATTTTATAAGGCAAGGCGGCATCCTGTACTTTGCTGAGTATACTCTTCGAGGGCCATGAGGATTAATCGAGCAGGGTAGCGATCTCCTTGAGCAATATTGGCATGGCACGGTTCCGGAGCATTTAACTTTTTTTGCGCGGCATGTCTGACAACTAAACCGTTAGATGAACCAAGCAATCTCAATCAACAGTCGCCAAAATCACCCCTCGTCAATGAGATTGGTGCATGGAGGAAAGTAGGGACTAACGCTGTGGCAACCGCCGCTCTTTGAACCGAGCTCGTCGAGGGCTTCGGCGTCCGAGCCCGTCCTGCCGATGCTGACATGACCGCGATTACGCAGTCGCAGGACTTGGCCTCAACGTTGTGGCCTTGGTTCTGCCTCCGTCATGCGTGAGTGGAGCGTAGAAGAAACATGGCAAGGTTGAGTTCGGGAGGGAAGCCGAAGCTTTTGTCTCAAGGCGCCACTTCTGATGACTAACTCACTCACTTTAGCAAGGACCTTATACCTACACCGGGGCCAATATAAATAAGTCATATACTAACTATATTAGCCCCGGTATAAATAAAATTATTATATAAGAGGATTATATAGCCTTATTAAAAGTCCCTTAACATAATAATTAATACCCTCTATAGTATTAATCTAAGGATTAATAGCTTCTATAATATCCCTTTAGCTTATTATATTTTTCTCTTATTCTAATAGACCTAATTAATACCTCTCTTTTTTTCCCTAAGGATATATTTTTACCTAAGGGTATTTATATTTCCTAAGAAGAAATCTATATTATAATTAATATATAAGTAATATCGCGAGGCTATATCTTTATTATTAAAAGATTTAAGATAAGAAAAAATAATAGAAATAAAATTATCTATACTTATAACTATAAGGTAAGCTATAAGCCCTTAGCCTTAATAAAATAGATCTAAGAGATTATATTATATTAAATTAATTATTTCTTTTTTATTATAATAAAAAAAAGCTTTTATAAGACTTTATAAACTCTTTAATATTAGCTTAATATTTAATATAATAAATATAATTATAAGCTAAATATTAATTTATTAATATATCTTATATATTATTAATTATTAAATATAAATAAAATAATAATTAAATAACTCATAAGGGTTAATATCTAAGCTAAAGGGATTAAGTCTTTCTTAAATATAAAATCTAATATTTTTATTATATAATAAAATATCTATAATTATATTATATAGTATAAATAAGAGCTTACTAAGGGTTAAAATAATATATATATTTTTATTAAATAGCTTAAAAATAAGGGCTTTTAAAGTTATATTTATTTTAATAAAACTAATAAAGTTATATTAGTTTTATTTATATATTTATGTTAAGGTTAGAACCGGGTTTATATAACTAGGTTAAACTAATAGATTAAATATCTAAGACTAAAGGGAAAAGAAAAGGAAATTAGGTTAATATAGCCTCGCTGCGAGCTTTTATAAGGCTCGCAGCGGGGCTCGGGCTAAGGGTTTAGCTACCTCTTTTATTCTCGGTTTTTCTAGGGGGAATAACCCTTTCTATAGGCTTACTTATAATAATTTATAATTATTTAGATATATTAAATTATATCTTAAAATAATTTTATTAGATTATATATATAAGATTAATAAGTATAAAATATCTCTTTTTAATATAATTAAAATTAATATTTATTAATATTTTTTTTTATATTATATTTATATTTCTTAATAATAAAAAAAGAAAATAATTATATATAGGCTCTTATATAGCTATAATTAATATATAAGGTTTATAAAATTAGCTTTTTTTTTATAATACTTATAGATTATTACTTAACCTATATAAATATAATTTCTTTTTTTTAGTATTTTTTTATATTAATCTTAATACTTTATTTATAATATATTAATAAAATAATCTTAATATATTTTAAGCTTACTTTTATTTAAGATAAAAATAATCCTAAAGAGAATAAAAAATAAATTTAATTTTTTAATTATTAATATAATATTATAATATTATTAATTAAAGAGATATATAATAAAAGGCTTAATATATTTAAGAATTAATATATCCTTAGCTATATTAATAAAATAAGCTATATCTTAGCGACCTAGCTAGATCTCTATAAATAAAGGTTTATTAAGGTATAAATAAATTAATACTTTTATTTTAATAAATATATTATATTATAATATAAGGGTATTTATTATCTTATTAAGTTTTATATAAATAATTTATTATTAGACCCTTGTAAGATATAAAAGATTATTAAGCTTATTTTTATAAATTAGCTTATAAAATATAAAGCTATTTAAGCTAAGTAATATATTAATATATCTTTATAATTATCTAATATATTTTATAGCTAAATACATAGCTAAATTTTATATAAGGCCTTATAAAAGGTTAAGGTATAATAAGAATATTTATTAAAGGAATATCTTTTATATATAAGAGTCTTTGTCTTAATTATAGGCTTATTTTATATCACAACTATAATATAAGCTAAGTAGGCAAGCTTAATAGAATTAATAAACTAAGTAATAAGATAAACAGGATTAAACCTCGCTTTTATTATTTTAAGGATTAAGTAAAGTAGCTATTAGTTTTATCTTAGATTAAATACTAATAATATTAATCCTAGGATTAACGCTAAGTATATAAAATATATTTATTAATATTTTTTTATATATTAATTACCTTAGTTATTAATATAACTTAGTTATATTTAATACCTTTAAGTATAACGTAGATGCATAGCAAGTGTCTCAGTCATGCAAGTGTCTTAAAATACCCTAGAGTGGAATTTCTACTAAATTAAACTTTTTTTTTAGAAACCTCTAAAGAATTTAAATTAATTCCTATAAAGCTAAAATTTAGTAGTTTATATTCTTTTAAGCTAAGGTATATAAAAATATTTTTAAAAGATTATTTAAAAATTCTTTATAAGGTAGTTTAGAAAAAGTCTATTTATATTATGTATATTACTATTTCTCTATATAAGGTATTTTTTAAAAATCTAAAAAAATCTTTCTTAGATTATATAAAGAGTTAGATTTATAAAAGTTCTTTTTTTTAGTTTCTAGCTATTTTATAGTAGTTTTTAGAAGCTTAGGGTTTATGGCTTTTAGGTGCATAGTATAGCTGAGATACTTACGTGACTGAGACACTTACTATGCAAGTACGTTATTATTAGATATAACTTATATTACTCTTTAAAGCTATATAATATTTTCCTTTACTAACATAAACTTAATATAATTAATTTATCCCTTAAGAATCTTATAATTATTATATATTTATTATAGCGCTAGTTATAATAACTACTAGAATTATATATGCCCTATTAGACCTATTAATTATACCTTGACTTATCCTTAGGATAATATATACTATAGGCCTAGGGATATAAGTTATAATTAGGTTTATAACTCGATATAAGTCTTAACTTATATACTATAAGTTAAACTTAATATATAATATATACTTAAGTATAATATATATAATAAGCGAGTATCATAGACAAGCGAGTATCACAAAAATCTTAACCCTCCTTAGGAATACTATAATAAAAACACTATAAATTATCTAATTAATTAAAACTACTCGCTATACTCTTCCCTAGATATCTCGATTACTACCTAACAGGTCCTTGCATTATGGCCAGGCTAGCCGCAGACACCATAACGCCGAATACCCGGTCGCGCCGACCTTCCTTAACTACCACTCCGCGATAATTCCGCCACTACCTACGCATTAGCATCCATTTAATCAATTACTTGCCTTCCTTCCTCTACCATTATAACCCCTCTTTTCTATAGCCGGGTTCTTTTTGCCCTCCAGCGCCGACTAAGTATCTTATTTGCCTCCCGAAGGTCTTTATTCTTAGCAGCTAATAAGGCAACCCAATATATAACTGCCTTTATCCCCTTCTCAAGAGACCTTAGGGCTTTAAGGATTAACTCTAGGGAGCTACTTTAATGCCTTCTAATTCGTCTTTTAAGGTATTTAGACTAAGATTAGGCCTTAAGTATAGTCTTTGGGGTCCTTAATGCCCAAGAGGTTAATTAATTAAATGCCTCCTTAATTAGCGTTAGCGTCCATAGCCGCACATCAAGCTTTAAGATCATACTTTCTAGATCAAAAGGAATAAGCCCGGCCCCTTTAAATAATGCCTTAATATTTCTTTTCGTTATAGTAGCCTCGTATACTATATGGAAGGCTAGAAAGAACTTAGTCTTTGAAACGTGGGTTATAAAGCATCTAATTAGATACTCTATTTCTCAACCATAAGCTCGCTTTAGCACGCTAAAGCACCCAATATCAAGGGGCTAAAGTAGATAAGAGGAATAAGGTAGCATATAAAGCTAGATAATCTTATTCTCCTCGTAATATCTCTCGAATTCAATAGAATAATAACTTTCATAGCTATTAAGGATTAAGAGACGATAGGAACTAATTAATCGATTAGTTATACACCGGTCAAAGTGCTTAAGCCACTCAAGACTAATCTTATTATTAGTCTAGCTATTTTAGGTCATCGCAATAGCCTAATCGCCCGGGAGGTTACTTTCTCGGTACTAATTAGCGAGGTAATATTAGCCTAAACTAATAATAAACGGCGGGATCAACTAGCCTTCCGCATTAATCGCTTAGATCACTATAATCCATTCCCGATTTCCAGGCTATACTAATTTTAGCTTTAAACGCCTTTCTAAGCCTATAACAACTATTCCGCTTATAATTATACCCATAAGGAAGCTAATCTCATCAAAGTTATAAATATTATCTAATCGGATACTATACTTCGCGATTATATTCGCCATAAGCCGAAACTAATCGCGGATAATAATTAGATCTTCGCACTTAGCTCTCTAGTAGTTATATTTCCGAAAAAAACGTATCTTAAGCTCTAGGTATCGCTTAACGAAGTTATGAGCCTAGCGCACGCCAACTAGTAATACATCGCGGTCGGTAAGTAATTAATCAGCCATATCTTTAATACTATATAGCCATAGGGGAAATCCTCGCGAATCTAAGTTAAGGATAAAATAAATAAGGATATCTTCTTCTAGATTAGATAGCTTGCGTGAATTAGGGATAATATCGCGTCGAGACTAGATGCCTTATTGCCGGCGATATAAGGTATGATAGTAAACTATATATATCGCTGCGGCGCGTCGGATACTTAGTTTTGGGTTATTTTGGAGGGCTTAAAGTGCTAGAAGAATTCTAGCTTTAGTATTAGAGCCTAATATGCTAGGTGGTTGAGAATCAATTGATTAAATAAAGAAGATATAAGGTGAGGGATTTTTATGACACTCGC